CGGATTTTTGCACTTTTTTCATGTACATGGAGCCGTCAGCAACAAAATTTCAAAATATCAACGCAAGTTTTTGTAAATTGCGCTTATTATATTAAAAAACCCAAAAAAAGTAGCCTAAAAAAAAAAAGTTCTCAAAAATCAAGTCGATTTTTTAGACATTTGAAACTTGCACTTCATTAGACTAAAATATGGGCTATAAAACTGCATACCAAAAAATCTTCGTATTTGTCAATGTTATGAAGGAAGAGCCTGCCTGAAACTATACAAAAAAGCAAATAAGCAAATGGATGTATAGAATTGACAACAACAACCACGCTGTCGAGTTTAAATAGCGGCAAATCAGCTGCACTTGATAGTAGTTGGTTGAATAAGGAAAATGAATTAGCAACAAGAGTTTACGGGATGTACATAGCTCAGTGGTTAACGCTTCTGACTTTGAACATCGAATTCGCAGGTTCGATCCCTGCTGAAGTCTAGAAAAAAGAAGTCTGATGAGGAGATGTGGTGATCTCCGAAATAGTGCTATAACTTCTACCGCTTAGACTTTGTTGCTTTTTCAATTTTTCCTAATAAACAATCGTGGTACAAAGCTCAATAAAAATATTAAAAAATCTTCTAAAAATTCAAGTTTGAAATTTTGATGAAAATTTGTTTAATTTTCCTAAAATTTGTTTAATTTTCCTAAAATTTGTTTAATTTTCCTAAAATTTGTTTAATTTTCCTAAAATTTGTTTAATTTTCCTAAAATTTGTTTAATTTTCCTAAAATTTGTTTAATTTTCCTAAAATTTGTTTAATTTTCCTAAAATTTGTTTAATTTTCCTAAAATTTGTTTAATTTTCCTAAAATTTGTTTAATTTTCCTAAAATTTGTTTAATTTTCCTAAAATTTGTTTAATTTTCCTAAAATTTGTTTAATTTTCCTAAAATTTGTTTAATTTTCCTAAAATTTGTTTAATTTTCCTAAAATTTGTTTAATTTTCCTAAAATTTGTTTAATTTTCCTAAAATTTGTTTAATTTTCCTAAAATTTGTTTAATTTTCCTAAAATTTGTTTAATTTTCCTAAAATTTGTATAAAGTTTGAAACTGTAATTTACACGGTGTTGGTTAAAGCTATAAACGATATTTATATATATATATATATAAAGACGATATTTTTATATAAGAATAACAAAAAAAATTTATCTCGGGAAAACATTACGAATATTCGAAGAAAAGCAACAGGTGGTCATTTGTTTGAGTCACTGTATATGTACCCTGCAGGAAATGTATCTAACTATAAGCTAACTTTTATCAAGTTATATATTTTAACATTCGCAAATATGTTATACATTTGTATGTAAGTATGTATGTGCGAAATTTACTTAACTCATTTGCTGGTTGTATACAAATTTTCCTTCTTTTTTTTCTTAAAAAGTTAATTTAATGTTTAAATAGTCGCGCAAAAATAAAAACAAGAAAAACATAACAAGTTCAACAGCTTTTTTTTTACTTTTGAAATTCTCTGGACATTTTCTTTTGACTTTGCTGCTGGCTTTTAACGCTTTGTTTTGCTCCAACATTTATATCCATCTACGTATGCTCCACACTTACGCAGTGATTGTGTGTGTGTGTGTGTGTGTGTGTGTGTGTGTGTGTATAAAAACCACGTCTTAAGACTGTGTGCTTTTGACTTTTGGCCAGCTTTTCTTATGTTTGTACATCATATTGTTGTTGTAGTTTTGTTTGTATGTAATATATGTAGCTATGAAAATGTTTATAGCGAGAAGGTGATCGCCAATAACCTGATTGAATGTTAAAACTCCGTTGTGGCGTCAACGGTTTATCGCCATTGTGATGGCATTTGTCAACTGTTTTGATTTATTGTGGACTGTCTTGGCCAACAATTAGTCGGTTGTAGTCAGTTTACTTCTTCGCAAGTGTGATTAAAAGGTGTCGCGACTTATTTTTCGTGTACACACACACACATCTACATTTGTATGTTAATCTGTACATTCATACCCTGCAGAAAAAAAAATTATTAATTGATAAAAAATAATCAACTTGTAGTTGGTTTTTTTTGCAGGACTTTTATAAAATATATAGCTTGCAGTTAGCTACAAAAAGCTAACTTGAACCTAGTCCACAAGTAATGTAGGAGTAGTTTTAATATTCTCATACAAATTTTACTTTGAATATATTTTCTTTCTGCACTTCACAAATACTTTTTTCGAATTCAGAACAAATAAAAGGAAGATCGAAATTTTATATTATCATTTCCAATTTATGTATGTCTGACGGAGTTCGTATATGGGATCACCAGAGAATAATATGTAAACAAACATGTAATTTAATAAAATAAAGTAAATAATTAAAAAGTAAAAAAATATATATATTTTTTATTGATATTTTATGTCCAAAAGTAGTTAGTTACAAGTTAGTCAACATCTAATGCAGAGGTAGCCAGCCTTGAATATGTCGCGCCCATAGCCATAGAAATATAGTTAGCTTTCCTCAAAGAAAATATACAGATAATAGTGACCTTAATAATCAACTTATAGTTAGATACATTTCCCGCAGGGTATTTACATACATACATATACATATATGTATGTAGGTGTATTTATGAATACATGTAAGCTTGTTCATACGCATTGGATGGAATGTAAATTCATACATAGCTGTTAAGAGATTGGGAAAAAAGTTAGTTATCCGGTACATCGATATTTCTGGTTGTCCTCATTCATCGAGCACTTTTCTCTGTCTTCGACTTATAAAACTGAAATTTAGTGTCGGTTTATTTCATTATATTTATTTACACTTTTTATATTTATATTTATCTATATTTATTTTACTTTACTTTACTTTATTTTTTTCAATTTTCTACTTGGTTTATAATTTTTAATATTTTTTTTTTAAATTTATATTTTTAAATTTTTAATTTATTTTTATTTTTTAAATAAAGTTTAATTTTATAATTTAATTTTTATTTACCAATTTTTTTTTGTTTTCTTTTTTCGTATACATTTTTAGTTACTCCACAACATATGTACATACATATAACTAAGTTATCTGTTTTAGTGCATTTTGGCATACACATTATTATTCGTTTAGAAACCCTGATTTATTCTTAATTTTTTTTTCTTGTAGCTCCAAGATCTCTCCTGCAGCTAAGCGTATGCCTCGTCTTTTTTTAATTTCCACATAGCCATTTCAGTCGCTTCAGTTTGAAATCTTTTGCACTCGTACATTCAAATCTTAAGCAGAGATTTAATTATTTTGAGATTCTTTTATTTACTTATTTTTCCGCATGCTTACATATACACATACAAACATAGGTACACGTACGTACATCCATACAGTGACTCAAACAAGTGACCACGTGTTAATTTTTTGCAATATTCATAATGTTTTGCGAGTTAAATTTTTGTTGTTATTTTTCTATAAAATTATTGTCCAAGCTTTAACCAAAACCATATAAATCACAATTTCAAACTTTATAAAAAAAAACTAAGAAGACAAAAAATTCATCAAATTTTCCTCGAAATTTCCCATTTAAAATCTGAGTCTTTAGAACACTTTTGTGTATGCAGTTTTATAATCCATACAATTTTAGGCTATACAATTTTTTTTTGCGAGAACGCTCGCAACGAATTTTCAAAAGATTAGCGTCGGCTTTTGTAAAACGCACTTGTTGTATATTTATATAAAAAAAAAAAACGCAAAAGCAGTTTAAACAAATCTAAAAAATCAACGCGATTTTTTAGCCGGTTGAAACTTGCACTTGACAAGACTAAATTTGTATGGGCTATTAAACTGCATACCTACCCAAAAATGTTCTAAATATTCAGATTAAATAGTCGAAATTTTTGATCAAAAGTTGTTGAAAAGTTTGAAACTGTGTGTGTTTATATGGTTTTGGTTAAAGCTTGGACGGCATTTTTTATAGAAAAATAACTAAAAACGTTTAGCTCGAAAAACATTGATTATAAAAAAAAAAAAAAAAAAAATCACGTGGCCCCTGTTTTGAGCCACTGTATATTTCTATATAGTTTTTTTTATTACTTCGCTTTCCGTTCGACATTTTGTATTTCTTTTTTGCTCCTCTTTTTAAGCGACGTTGTGACGTCTTTCGCGTTGCTTCCTTTATAGTCATTCATGGTTTTTTTTTTTTATTGTGCATGGGTTTAATTTCTGTATTTATTGACCCATCGTTTGCCCTCGTCAGCATATGTTTGCCTAAAAACTTGATAATCAATTGATTAGTTTGTGTGATTGTTTACATTGCGTGTATGTAGGATGATTTAATAATTGACTTGGAAAATATATTCATATACACATCAATACAAACGTAAATAGTTGCAAATTTGCAAATTTTGAATGGCGATTTTCACAAACACTTCAGCACACATTAACACCTTCGGAAGCTTGGTAATTTTTAACCGACTTACAAAAAAGGAGGAGGTTATCAGTTCGTCGGAATATTATTATTGTTATTTTATTTTATTTTATTTTTTTTTTATGTATGTTACCGCATAACTTTGGACCACGTCAACCGATTTCGATAATTCTTTTTGCATCGGAAAGGTAGTGTCTCAGAGGTGGTCCCATACTAATCTGCTATACTAATTTTGCTAAAAATTACTTGTTGTGTATGTACATATTTATTCTGCTTAGCTCTAAAATTTTTCGATTATGTCTGATGAACTACATACATATGTACAGTGGCGTAGCCATGATTTCGGGTAGGGGGCGGCGGGGATGAACAAAATTTTCAGCGATAAGAAAAGTCGGTCAACTGAAAATAGCATGGATTCTATAATCCCTACAGAGTTACTTTTATACCTAAGCCAGGCAAGATAAGATTACATGCCGCTTGAAGCTATTCAATCCAAGTGCTAAAATCCTTGCTAAAATTGTAGATTCTTCAAACGTTTAATAAGATTAAGATACTTTCTGTTCGTGGCGAAATATACTGGCACAACATTAAACTCTTAACCCTTTTTTTTTGCTTTCAGGCGGATGATAAATCACTACTTGCACGCTTCTATCATGCAGATCGGTCACTCACAGCCGTCGCCAGCGAACTGGACAGTTTCGATGGGCGCGCAGAGCCAGATCGTTGCTCGCGGCTTGTCAGTCGGCTGCGCCAGGGACAGGTACATATATATGTCTTTAATTTAAACCCAAACATACATATTTTTACTAAGTAATTTGTGATTTGACAATTTCATATTCAACCAAAAAAAAGGACAAAGTACTCGCCATCACCAATTTGATTATGGAAGAGTTGCTCGGTGATGAACGCCATCCGCGTGCGTTTCGCGCCAAATTTCCCGAAGAAGTGTTGCAAGAGAATCTTGCCGGCCAATTGTGGTTCGGCGCCGAGTGCCTTGCTGCCGGTTCATCGATAATGCATCGTGAACAGGAAAGCAAAGAGATGCGTCCATTGGCACAGGCCGTCACAAAGAGTTTGGGTACAGTGCGCAGTCTGTTGCGTGATCAGTGCCTTCGCAACAATGTGCCGAACAGCAAAACATTGCGTTTGGATATTAACGATTCGGGCACAGAGCAATTGTATGAGAGTTTGAAGATTTTTGATCGCTTATTTGCCGAATTCGAATTACGTTACGTCAGCGCTATGGTGCAGGTTAAGACAAAGGAGGAGTATGAAATGCAGGAGCTAATTTGTGTACTCTTCTCAGAGACACTGCAACGCGCAATTAAATTGGGTCTAATTGATCAGGACAAAGTAGATACATTCGATCCTGCTTTAATGTTTTCCATTCCACGATTGGCTATTATTACCGGGTTGGTCGTCTATCCGAAAGGGCCGCTGAATATGGATATGTCAGCAGATCAGCTCTCGGAGATGTTTCGACCCTTTCGCACGATACTCATAAAAATTCGCGACCTACTACGTACGCTGAGCAAAAGTGAATTGCAGCAGCTGGAAAAACTTTTGTGCACCAATGAAGATATTCAATTGAATGTGAGTGCGATTGCTTTGCGTTTTGTGCAGACCAGGGTCCTTTATTTAAATTTACTAATTTCTTCTATTTGTAATTCTTTTTAGCAGCCAGTTGGCCACAGCAGCATTGAAGCGCCGAGTGAGGATCAACAGAATAACAATAGCAACACAACTATTAGCACAAGTACTAGCACAAAAAATCCCTCCAGTAGAACAGAAGAGTTCACAGAACCAGAATTGGAGCAACGAAACAATAATTTAAGTAGCACACGGCCCAGTGCCGAAAATTGGACCCCACCACTCCCCGTCGCCGAATCAGGCACAAGAAGTTCAAAAGATGATTTAAGAACAGTTGGCTCGAAGTCACGTTGTGGCTCTTGCAGTCGACACTCAGTCTCCTCAGCCTCTGGTGACAGTTCAGTACTTTCCACACCCGCCGCTTCACCTACCCCATCACATTCAATTGCGTCTACTACATCTGCTGTAACCAATAGCTCCACTACCTCACCTGCAGACTGGTCTGATGATGAAGACGACGATGATGAGGACGAAGACGAAGACGACGATGGCGATGATGATATTCTCATCAATGCAGATGACGAGGCTGAACTCGATGAAGATGATGATAATGAGGTAGTGATTGGTGATTGTGAAAACGAAGACATTGTATCTGCTGATTGCGCCTCGGGTTATCTCATTCCAAATACAAATTTCGGCAATCTTTTGCAACCCCAAGATGTTCCTTTGACAGGCAATTTTATTGCCAGTGAAGATGACGCGTCCAGTAATGCCAATGTTGAGGTGGAAGATGAGCACGCTTTTTCAGATGTACCCACCACTAGCGCGGCATTGAGGCGACTACGCCTCAGCAATCCAACTGAACACTCTGCCATGCAAAGTGGCGATAAAGCGACAATAATCGCGCCAACAGCAGCAGCAACAACTATAACACTTTCACCAAAGTCATCTCTTTCGAGTGGCAGTAGTGAAACTGATAAATTGTCTGCCTGTAGCTGTGAGTCTCCGTCATCCTCGTCGACGCAAAGCAAAAAGAGTGAAGTAAGTGGGAAAGAGACAAGCCAACGTCACTCTAGCAGTCATCATCACCGTCACCTTGATCATAGCTGCTCGGCGGGAAGACCACATAAAACTCACAGTCATCATACGCACGGTAGCCCTCCTTTTCGACACCAAAATCAACATCACCATCACCATCATCATCATCGGCGTAATCGAAGAGGCAGTGATCACACAACGAAGGCGAAAAGCAGCGCAGCTGAGGATTGTGTTAGTAACGACGCAACCACTCTACAGCTAGGAAACTCGGGTGATGTGAAAGAGTTCAACAAGTCGAAGACGACTACTTGTAACAACAGCTCCTCGAGCGCAGATAGCAGCACGGCATCTTCGCTGTCGGATGGCGTTGTTGATGCGCACCAACAACCTAACGAAGTTAATCAGGCTATAAAGGTGTCCACACGCAAGAGATTTAAGTAAGTTTATGTGTATGCTTTTAAATTATTGAAGTGAAACTTCTTTGACGTCGGTGGTGAATTAAAAAATCGTCATAAATAAATGTGACAGCTGGGATGCAATGGAAGTGCATTTCTCTTCATTCTTCCATATCCCCCTCTCTTGCCAGCTGTATGAATATTAAGAGCTACACCACGATTTAAGGTATAAGATGCCTAAGATAAAAGCAATTCGAGAGAAGTTTCACTTCCGTACTGTCTCGCAGGCGCACTTAAAAAATTAAATTTTTTATTTCATATTTTTATTCTTTTAGAACTATTGAAAATCTTCTCCATCGCCTGTTTGTTTGCATTGCCGGAGTGGCTGATCAACTGCAGACCAATTTTGCAGCTGATTTACGTCAAATACTACGCAGCGTGTTCCTTATGAATATGTCACCCGTGCAGGAAGAGCTCGACATACCCGAAAAACCAAAGGAATCGGAACTGTTTGAGTTCCGTGCTTCCGAACAGGATGTGATACAGGAGAATGCCGGCTCCAACCAGAGCATTTATTCAGCAGAGGAAGTCAATCCCGAGCTGGACAATGTGTTCCACAACAGTGGCGGTAGTGGTTCCGGCAGCGGTAATAACAGTAGCAGCAGCAACAGCAGCAACAGCAGCAACAGCAGCAGCAGCAGCAGCGCTAGCGTCAGCGTCAGCAATAGCAATAATCGGCATTCCCTTGGTGGCGCCATACAGCGTGGCAATACCATAGATGTATCAGATCCGAATGTTGTGTCGTCCGGTGTGTCCGTGGGGCGCACGCATGTCAGTCGCAGCCGCAGTTTGGGTGATCACGATCACAGTGATATAGGCGCGACACCTGCCACATCGTCCGCAACAACGACGGTCGGCCTTCAAAGTAGTCGCCGCTTAAGCGCTTACATCAGTGGACAGCGGCAACGCCGAAATCGAAATGATTCAGTGGGTAGCACTTCGCCCATCTCATCCAGCTCTTCATCATCTGCCTCGTCCGAAAGCAATTCACCAGTTAGTCAGCGCGCTTCAATACCCAACCCAGCTAGCAGTAACAACAATAATAATCTAACAGCAACAAGAACGTCACCACCGTCTGCTGCTGCCGCTGCCGCTGCCGCTACTAGTATGCGCACCGCCAGCATAAATACACGCCTGTCCCCGCCCGCTTGGGTGCCGGACGATAAGGCGCCGCGTTGCATGGCTTGTCGCACACAGTTCACAGCATTCCGCCGTCGCCATCACTGTCGCAACTGCGGTGGCGTATTCTGTGGTGTCTGTTCGAATGCATCGGCACCATTACCCAAATATGGACTGACAAAGGCAGTACGCGTATGCCGTGATTGCTATGTGCGTGAGGTGCGCGCCAATACCACTGTCACTGGTGGCGGCGCTGGGCGTAGCACTGTCATATCGCCGCGGGCAACAGCGGCGGCAGCAACAGCTGGCGGGTCGTAGAAAAGCGAACTGCAGCAATGGGTAGGGCTCAGAGGGAGCTCACTCGCGGAACTGATAAAAATGAAAAGCTAGGCTTTCGTATTGCTTTACTGCTGCTTTACCATTCTTTGCCACGCGTCGTCTGTGGAACATTATAAACTAAATGTTTTTCGATTTTTGTTTGTTTAATTTTAAATTGTGAAAAGTTACACAATGCAAATGTGTAAATATGGATTGTATTGGACTTTTAAGTTAGCGTCAATTACAACTGTGTGTTTGTTGTAAGCCAGAATAGCGTTTACAATTAACAAATCGATGTCAACAATTCAGATAATGATGTTTGCGTAAGGGAGTACAGTTCCATAGGTAGACTGTTACTAAACAGTTTGTTTTTTTCGGAAATAGGAGCAATGTATTAGCTCTGAGCTATAACACCGGCTTGCGTTTTGCCTAAATTATGCATTTCCAGTTGTTTCGTATAATAAATTATAACACTACGATTCCATAAAAACAAAGATATTTAATTGAGACAGCAAAAAGCAGCATTTTTGTGAATTTTGAAACTCAAATATTTTTTAATAATTTCGTGTAAAACGTTTTAGATTCAGCGCAGAATCCCGTTTCGGAAATTTTCATATTCAGCTTACGTTTGTGTTTGTGATATAACAATGCAATTTCCTTTAAAATTAATAACTTGTTCCTAGCTCAAGTCTAAATACCCTCCTAGCAGAAAACTGCTTACGCTTACATTTGCATACGGTTTGGATTTTTGATTAACATATTTCTTTTTTTTCAAAAATACAAGTTTGATTTAAGTTTTATCAAACATTCGCATATGTAGTAAAAGAGTCAGCAACCACAGTGTATGTATGTATTCTTATGTACAACTTAGAACTTGGTCTATTTTTGTATAACTTAGTATTTAATGAAATTTAAAACAATAAAAACATAACTGATGAACATAGACAACTGTTAGTTTCGTAGTAATAAGAAGTTTTTGTATTGCATTTTTTAGTGAAGAGGATACTAAAAATAATTTTTTAACAAAAACTGAAAATAAAAATATTAAGACACGCCCATATCTGTTTTATATTGCATAATTGTGTTTCTGAGATGCGTGCGGGCGAGAGTAATGAGATGATAAGAGAAAGAGTGAAAATAGTGTAGTCTAGGAAATTTCTGAAATAAGTTGAGTTCTGATATTTTGGGTATTCTATCAGTTATATTAATACATACACATTTTCTTTGCAATAGTAAGTAAATATGAATCAAACACATATAGCCTTACTTTTTTATTGCATTGCTTTTGTAAAAAAAAAATNAAGTGTAGTCTAGGAAATTTCTGAAATAAGTTGAGTTCTGATATTTTGGGTATTCTATGAATTATATTAATACATACACATTTTCTTTGCAATAGTAAGTAAATATGAATCNTAGTGTAGTCTAGGAAATTTCTGAAATAAGTTGAGTTCTGATATTTTGGGTATTCTATCAGTTATATTAATACATACACATTTTCTTTGCAATAGTAAGTAAATATGAATCAAACACATATAGCCTTACTTTTTTATTGCATTGCTTTTGTAAAAAAAAAATATAAATATGTAATAAACATATAAGTGGTATTCGCGCTTGTGTGTATTCGCTGTATCCTGCGTAAGTGTAACTGGACGAGCGTGTGGTTGTTGTTAAGTACATGTGTATTTGATGTACTCATACAACAAATACACATACATAAGAGCGAATTCCCCTATTAATTAATTTCCTATGTGACTCGCTGAAGTGTCTTAACATTCGTATGTATGTATACGCGTTTACTTGACTTCAATTTATCTTTGATTTTGTTTAGTTGATATTTACCCATACATATGTAATTGTTTTAATTTTTCAACATTTTCGCTATTGTAATGTATTAGTTGTAATGGCACTTAAATGGCATTCGCTGGAAACTAACAATTTGCATTGCATTTGTTAGCCGTTAAATAAAAAAAAAATAAATAAATAAATAAAAAAGAAGAAATTTATTTTATGACTATATAACGAAATGGCCGAAAAAACTGCTATAAAAAAATATACGTATTTACAAATTCAACTGTCAACAATAATTTTATGTTGCTAAAATTTATTATTATTTTTTATATGAAACGTGAAGAATTTTGTGATCTAAAAGTTTTGTTTTACTTTTTTATTTCGCTGATTTGCGATTTTCTTTGTAATACCTAAAAAAACTACCAATTTCCAAAATTTTATTGTATACTGGTGAATCGTAAAATTAATTTGTTTAAAAAAATTAAATAAATAAGTATATATACATTATATACACAAAACAATGTAAAAATGAAAAATCGTGTTTAATTTTTGTCGAATCGTTATTAGAAATACCGTTCTGTTACCGAATAGTTGTGGATCGGAAAGGCGGTACCTCAATTTGATTTAGTTCCGATGATTGGACCATGAAGAAATTAACGGTACTCTGAAATATTATGCTATAATATGCGATACTTTGGGGTTTGATGGTAAGGATGACAAATTCAGTTTCAGATGCCGGAATACTATGCTTTTTTCATACTCCAAACATTTTAGAAACTAAGGTCTTGAGCAGATATTTACATATTGCCCATTAAAGGAGGCAAAAGGTGGACGGCGAATTGTCTGCTTAGTCGACAATTTTCAAATCCAACGTCGTAGGTAAGAAGGAGAGCTCCGAGGACCACTGTTCAATATTGGCGTTCACCAATAGTATTGAAAATAAACGGCCATGTCTAAAATCACGTTCGCTTTTTAGCCACATGGGGCCTTAGCGTTGCCGCTGCAACAACGACGGCGTCTCCACTAAGGGTCAAGCTGCAATTGTGCATTTACGCTTAATAATCAGAAAATTTTATGGACCTGTCCGAACATCGCACTATGGACTCGCACGGGATGCCTTCTCATGTTGCTTGAACACATCTGAAAACGAGGCCTTCATGCTGCCACTTAAGGAAGAATATCGCCTCGTCCTGAGTTTCGCCTGAAAACAAATTCACCCCAATTTTTTTTTTTTACCGTCCAGGGTATACCGGAATATACACTACTGCTAGCTCCAACGTTGTACAGGCAGTAAATAAACATCGTTTACCAGCTTTGCCAAATTTCTTTTCAAGAAATCGTGTCAAAAACAGGAAGTAAACTAGCTTTTAAAGAGGTTACAATCTTACATGATATAAAACGGACATAAGGTATATATATATATCTGGAGGCCGTTATAAAGTCGTTCCTCTAAATTCGACCGCAGCGACGTCAGGTGGATCTTTAGATAAAACTTCCTTATCAGTAATGATGGCGCCCGTCGAACATACATACAGGGAACAAAATTCTGATGCGACAAAATACAGCGTGAAATTCTTATATTGCTGCAAGTGCTGGAAGTGGTTGGAACTTAAAAATTTTTATGATGAGTATAAAACCTTAATTTGTGTCGCCCTCTTTTATTATCGATTTTTAAAAAATTCCCACAATCACTAACTGACCTTGACAACGCTTTTTGACTCAATCACTTTCGAACGAATACAATTTACAAACTGAAAAATTTAATTTTTTGGAGTAAATCAATTTTCCTCAAATATAAAAAGCTTTTACGGCAAAAGCGCACGCTTGCAAAAAAATCTGCACGAAGCTTTTTTGTGTACTCCAAAAATAAATAAAATATATTTTATATAAATAAATTTTTTATTATCAGTGATAGAAAAGGAAACTAAAACGAAATGCCACCGAAAAAGGTTAAGGGAAAAGGCAAAAAGAAAAAAGAGCCCGTACCGGAAGTGGAGCCGGAGCCACAAATTGAATTATCTGACACTTCTATAAATGAGCGTGAATTGGACTTGTTGGATGACCTTAACGATGACTTCTTCTCGGCAGCCAATCAGGTGACGCAACGGCAATGTTCACCAATCCAACGCTAAATTCAATTTTAACTTTTTTCTTTCGCTTCGCTCAGACTATACAAAAACTCATGGAAGCGAATCGCACTTATGAAGCTTCGAAAATTAAGAAATACGTGGATATAATTTTCAATTTACATCGTCGCTATGCCGATGAAGTGAAAGAGACGTCCGTGCTGCGACCACAAGTAATACGCGCGGAGAATAAGTTGCGCTTGGCCTTGGAGCTGACCGCCAATTCCGAGGAGGCTATGGAACGGCTGCGCGAAGCTCTAAGTAAGTGGGCAACCGATTTGTGTCACTGATGTGTTGTGGTATTGAACGATATTAATTTTTTTTTTACCTTCCATAGGCAAAGCCTGGATGGAGAGTGACGCCTCATTATTGCGCGAACAGGATACGCAAGAGCGTTTGCAGGAAGTAATGATAAAATGTGAAGGNGCGGCTGCGCGAAGCTCTAAGTAAGTGGGCAACCGATTTGTGTCACTGATGTGTTGTGGTATTGAACGATATTAATTTTTTTTTCCCTGCCATAGGCAAAGCCTGGATGGAAAGTGACGCCTCATTATTGCGGGAACAGGATACGCAAGAGCGTTTGCAGGAAGTAATGATAAAATGTGAAGGAATAGAGAGCAAGGAGGCGAAGAAACAGGATGATACATCGGAGTAAGTGATTGCGATGGTGTTGGTAGATTTAAAGACTTCCGTTTGATTTGGAACCTGTATACATACACCTTTCCCTCTTAGGCTTTGAGAAATCATTCCAATCTGTGGTTGTTCATGAAATTGTCCACTAGGGATTGGCATGTTTCACATTTCGGGTGGGGACGATAACAGGTTTTCAGAGTGTATTACCCCTTGACTTACGAGTATAAAATGTGAGCAATCCAATAATTTATGCTCTGGGATTTCATAAGCCAGCTACCAGGACAGCAGAGTCTGGCTCTGTCCCATACTTGGAATATGATTGATTGATTAGATTAGATTGCGAAAGCGCGTGCGAATGTCTACTTCATCCACTCGGAGCAGACATGCGCATTGTGAATGAATACCAGGAGGACACACACATCCTTCTAACCGAAGTTATTCCATATTGTCAGTATTGTGTCTGTTAAACTATTTACTATCCCAGCTATTTACTAAGCCAACGATGCACGACATTCGAAACTACTTTCGACTCTACCACCCTGGAACCGAACGTGTTCAATGCCGCCTGACTGCAACGACCTTCCCTGATAGCAATTATACCTGTACTATGTTGTAGTAAACATGAGTAAATTTCGCCTGGACTAGGAGATGGTATAAGCATTGTGATGGTTCAGAGTAATTTCTCACTTAAAATGGTTCCCGCTAAGACTCTCGTCCTCCTGTTCGCATACAAGGCGCCTTCGCGATTCTCTTAATAATTAGGTTCTGCGAAAGAAAGCCTGGGAAGTAGGTTTCTTGAGAAAACTTGCTGGACTCCTTTTGGGAGACCCATCTGGTTGTTAGACAATTCATAGACAATACGATTGATCAAATTTGAGGGTGTTCTATAGGGGTAATGCCTCGGGCAGGGAATAGATTCCCCCACAGTACTCACGCCACGTAAGCTCTTTTGGATCTGCAGTCCGCTTTTGATTTTCGTTCCGCAGCTCTCTTCAAAGGCGTAACGGGGAGTTGCCGTGAATCAAACTCACATGGGCAGTAGTAATTGCTGCCGTAGGCGGGTTCACATCTTGCACATTAAATAGGCCCCCTTTGGTTTTCATGGGATTCCTGTAGAAAAGGTTTTTAGTTAAGCTTTGAAGGAAAGCTCTATCATTTTAAAGCTTGGTACACAATTTCCACTTATGTTATAATTAATTCTCTTCACAGATTTGGTAATTTAGCAAAATACAAAAACATTATTTTGCGTGAACGCGATCGTCTCAACGGTGAGGTGATTGATCTTGAGAAACGTTTACAATTCCAACGGTACTACTCTGAATCTCTCGAGTATATCAACAAAAACAATGAAGAGACTTTAGCAAAGAATAATAAGCAAATGCGCATGCTCGAAACGGAAAAGGGAAATTTCGAGGTAAAAATTCGAAGTTTGCAAAGTAATCTCGACGATCAGAAGGAAATCACAACGCGCACAGCTTTGAAATTGGATGCCGTTAATCGTGAGGTACATATGTAGTATACGGTGTTGTTGCTTAGGTACTACTTGTTTCTTGACTATTCCTTTACAACGTCCAGTTGATGGAAACACAAAAAAAGTTAGCGAAGAAAGTAGAAGACTACGATCAGCAAAAGCATACGATGGAGAAATTGCGTAATGACAATGCAATAAGCAATCGACAGTTGCTCAAGAATGATGAAGAAATAACTGAGATGCGAAAGGACCAGCGCGCAAATGAGGAGCTTATTAAAGCGTTACGACTGGAGGATAAAGTAAAAGCCAACACAATAAATCAAATGGCAAAAAAATACAAGAAGGCCGTGCAAGATCACAGCTCCATTTCATCTAAGCTGTACAAACTGAATCGACTGAATAACACATTGGGCGAGGATATTGCACGGCTGAAGTGAGTCTAACTTAATGCATTGTGGTTACTCTCTTAAGCTTAAATAATCATTACGATGTGCATTAACCCTGTGCTTAGAAACCAAATCAATGCATTGGAAAAGGATCTGGTTAATTCCACTTACAAATTTGACGAACTGCGCAATGTTAAGGATAACATGCAACACGAGCGAGATGCATTGCGCAGCGATATCGTCAAGTTGAACAATCAGATAGCCGATCTCAAACACACCATTATGATGCAAACTATCAATATCGATGGACTTCATTTGGATATAAATAAATTGAATGTGAAACTAGACGAAGCGCGTATAAGCGTGTCGAAGTCGCAGAAGGAGCGCGACGAAATGGCGCAAGAGGTCGAGACGCTGCACGAACGCATCGAATATCAACAAGGTAGGTATTTGAAGATGAGCGAAGAGATACCATGCCCTAAAATACCTGTAATATTACACGAGGAAATTTTGGTTTCCTAAAAGACAAAGTTTTGATGTTTGTGAATTCACCTTTACAATAACTGAAGGTTTTAGTTCATATTGCCACAAAGGCAAGGTCGTAATTCAGACTCTGTTCCTTAGGTATAAACGTATGTAAGTAGTCGAGTGGTACTGGTATGGTGTGAGTAACTCATGCGAACGAGTAATAAAAAAACTGGTCCTAAATGTAATATAAATGGTAAATTTGTTGGCTTCAACAGAAACAAAGGACACCGCGGTCTAGAATAGCTCTTGTATCCCTGTGATGGTCGCTAACCCTGACGGTTCAAGACGTTATTAGTATTCCTTAAAAAAGCTAAAACGTTTCTCGGTAGATGAATTTCTAACCTTGAGGGAATGAATTGAGGAAGAACTGAAGTACTGCAATCTTAGTCTGGCTAGTGCTGGACAATTACACATAATATGCTCCGACATCTCTTCATCTTCAAGGCAATGACGGTAGAGGAAAGACCAATGACCAATGACGGTGCCTGTGAGAGTGTAGGTGATTATGACCGGTATATATTTATATCTTTTCTGGCAAAAGGATAACCAAAAAGTATGGCCTGTCTAAGATGTCCTACCTCTCCCCAGTACGAGGTAGACAAAATTAGTATAGACGATGAGCATTCCGCAGTGACCAAATACTGTAGGCGACCACTGCAGGCGAGTGTTATGAAACCGTGGTTTTCTAGGACCCTCAGATTTGGTTATTTGCTTTTAATGGGGCTTTATGCAGTCGAAGAAGCAAATATATGTATGAATGTGCTACGTGAATTTTGGCACTTTTTTGCTTTTTAAGACAGTTTGGAAGACGAAACGTTTGTGGGGGCGGCTTTCAGTCCTACCGATCTACTGGAGATATAGGCCTCGTTGACCATTACCAGCTGCATGGTTTCATCAAGTTTACGAAGACTGGCAAGAAAGCGCCCGCGAACCGAATGACAGGGACGATGGAACTCATCTCCCAATGCCCGTTGGACTTATGTATAGGCTCATCCCAAATATTGAAGACTGGGCCGACAAACCGCACTGATTGTTTGTTTCGAACATCGTCCAGTCAGGAATCTAGGGCTCAAGATACTGCATGTAGTAGGCAGTGGACACTAACGCATCTGAAATTATTTACAAATTAACAGAAGAAGCAGAGAAGAACCCTTACAGGTCGAAACTGAAGCCTATGCAGTATTTTTTGCAACTAAAGAAGATCCCGAAGATCCTGACTCCTGATCTATTTGGAAATGTGAGCCGAAAGTTTAGACAGAAGGGTAGTTATGTGACTGAGAGTGGCAGGTATCATACCAGGACAGTGTTAATCGTTGCACCATATCCATATGAAGTTGTATAATTGATCGANATGCAACGTGAATTTTGGCACTTTTCTGCTTTTTAAGACAGTTTGGAAGACGAAACGTTTGTGGGGCGGCTTTCAGTCCTACCGATCTACTGGAGATATAGGCCTCGTTGACCATTAGCAGCTGCATGGTTTCATCAAGTTTACGAACACTGGCAAGAAAGCGCCCGCGAACCGAATGACAGGAACGATGGAACTCATCTCCCAATGTCCGTTGGACTTTTGTGTAGGCTCATCCCAAATATTGAAGACTGGGCCGACACACCGCACTGATTGGTTGTTTCGAACATCGTCCAGTCAGGAATCTTGGGCTCAAGATACTGCATGTAGTAGGCAGTGGACACTAATGCATCTGAAATTATTTACAAATTAACAGAAGAAGCAGAGAAGAACCCTTACAGATCGAAACTGAGGCCTATGCAGTATTTTTTGCAACTAAAGAAGATCCCGAAGATCCTGACTCTTGATCTATTTGGAAATGTGAGCCGAAAGTTTAGACAGAAGGGTAGTTATGTGACTGAGAGTGGCAGGTATCATACCAGAACAGTGTTAATCGTTGCACCATATCCATATGAAGTTGTATAATTGATCGATAGTAGCGATTTAAAGTGCATCATTCAATGCGAATCCGCTGGTCATAAATCCATTTACGGTTTTGGGTTAGGCCCTGAAAACTTCTTTTCGATAAAATGCTGTAATCCTAACGCCAGAGATAGTACCGCCGAAAAAGCTTCCGTGAAAATGATCGAAATCATTGATCTAAAAGTCCCCATTTTTTTTGTCTAGATCCAAGAATAAACGAAATATTTAAGCTTTCAGTCGNTGGGTTAGGCCCTGAAAACTTCTTTTCGATAAAATGCTGTAATCCTAACGCCAGAGATAGTAGCGCCGAAAAAGCTTCCGTGAAAATGATCGAAATCATTGATCTAAAAGTCCCCATTTTTTTTTGTCTAGATCCAAGAATAAACGAAATATTTAAGCTTTCAGTCGACAAAAAACATTTAAAATCCAGTCGAATTTATGTTAGATGCTGCTGCTAGGACAGCTGTTCTGATGCGCTTCGGTACACGTGTGTCTAAATTTCCTCTAAGTGAATGAGGAAGTGAGCCTGTTTAAATTTTCTTTCCCTTTTCTTCCTCGAGTGCAGAATAGCTGACATTTGACACTCACCACCTTATATGAATTCGCCTGGTAACAGTTAACTTCACGCACACAGCTAACCTCTAACCTAAAAGGTCATGCTAAAAAATTTATAGTTAAAAATTCTGACCTCTAACTTTTTATAATTATAATTTTTTCATTAAGAACAAATTCAGTTGAAATCGAATCAAGTTACGGATTTGAGCGAAAAACTACAGCAAAAGCACTTAGCTTTGATCAACGTGAAAAAACAGTTGGAAACGGTCCATTCAGAGAAAATGGTNCCTCTAACTTTTTATAATTATAATTTTTTCATTAAGAACAAATTCAGTTGAAATCGAATCAAGTTACGGATTTGAGCGAAAAACTACAGCAAAAGCACTTAGCATTGATCAACGTGAAAAAACAGTTGGAAACGGTCCATTCAGAGAAAATGGTGCTGAAACGAAATTTGGAAACGTGTACGCAGGAACGCGATAATTTCCGCATATTGCAGACGGTAAGAGATTGCAGCTGAATAAAAAATTATTACAGAGATCACTGACTTAAAACAACGAGATTAATATACATACAAAAATAGACTGCCTAAAAGAAAGAAAGGATCAGCATATTTACCTCTTCTAGCATTTTAACATTGGAGCATCACTCTCCGATTAGCTCACTTTTTTTTGTTTTATTCTTTAGAAAACGAATCATCAAATTCAACAACTCACCGCAGAAATAATGGCCAACCAAAACAAGATTTCCAACCTCAACTTGCAAATTGAGCGCCTGAACAACGACAAAAAAGAGCTGCAGTCCGAATTGAAGAACAAGGAGAATCTGTTGGCCAGTGTACGTCGTGATTTACGCGAAATGAAGACCAAAAACGACAACCTTCTCAAGACTATACACGAAGATGAGTTGAAGTTCATGAAAATGTCACAGGATCTCGATGAAACACGCAAGGAGAAGAACCTGGTTGGGCTGCAAATGGTGCGACGCAATGATGAGATCGTAGTGCTGCGTGAAAAGCTCAATAATACGCAAACGGCTTTGGATCAAGGTTCGTAAATTTATATTACTCTTGCTTTGTTGTGCGGTGTCTATACATATGTATATGTTATTTTCCAATATTCGCGAAGGACAAACGCAGTACAATCAACGTGTTGAAGATATACGTTTGCTTAAAATGGAAATAACTAACTTACAAACGGAACGTGATTGCCTGACGCGTGCCATAAAGAGTACAGCGAATATGCGCGAAGAAATCATAAGATTGCAACGTTCTTTAAATCAGGAACGTATCAAGGTACGCTCACTCACTGAGGATGCAAAGACACCAACCGGTGTACATCGCTGGCGCATACTCAAGGGTGAAGATCCGAATCGCTATCAGCTGTTGGAAAAAGTGCAAATGTTACAGAGGTGAGAGAAGAGTATAAATTGGGTGGAGCGGTAGGAAGTTGAACTTACAGAAATACTAGATTATTGTATGTGAAAGCTTAGCGGTGACTAAGCTATTTGCTGAGGAAAGAATGTCCAGTGAGTGTACACTCTGTAGCTTAGAGTTTTACGAAGCGTTTTGGTTTTTCATTACCGTCAGGACCCGCATGACCTAATATGCAGTTCAGAATTTCAATATTATTTGCTGAAATCATATGAAAGTTCAGAGCTGGAAAGAATTTGGCGAGAGTGAAAGAAAGGGTTTTTAAGAAAAGATTAGGGGATGGGGTCTAGGCATACTGTCTTCTTAAGAGTTCCGTTGCCAGAAGTTGAAGAGATGGCAACTGCAATATATCGCGCTTAATATAAGCACTGATCGTTGAACGCAGAGCACAGGGATTGCCGAGCTTATCAGTGCCGACTGTTCGGCCTCTCAAAGTAATACTAACGGGATACTGGATAATTGGTCATAAGACGCATAAGATCTGAGNTTTCCGTTGCCAGAAGTTGAAGAGATGGCTAGAACAGCAACTGCAATATATCGCGCTTAATATAGGCACTGATCGTTGAACGCAGAGCACAGGGATTGCCGAGCTTATCAGTGCCGACTGTTCGGCCTCTCAAAGTAATACTAACGGGATACTGGATAATTGGTCATAAGACGCATAAGATCTGAGTGCCGCGTAACAATTTCTATAGACGATGTTGAGAAGAGATATAATTCATTCAGCGCTTCCTATGTGAATGCGCTGCACTCCGGGGAAAGCGCCTAAAATCTCTGCGAACCATTTCTTAGAGAACTTAGACAGTTTGAAGAAGACTCCACTACAGGGTTTACTAGACAAGGATGCTTTAAGGAGTTGCAAAGGCAGGTCTGGGGATATCCTCCCCTAGGTATCACAAAGGTTCTTTGCGGCCTCTGGATGAACACTTACCAAGAGCTGTCCTCTAACCCAGCATTTTATAAACTCTGATGGTTGCGCCCATCACTGACTGAGCTCAATGTGAAAGGTAAAAAGTTAATCTCTGGTATTGTTTAGCATTTGAACATCTCCGCGCTTTTAAAATTTAAACAAAGTCAAGGGCACTAGTCTCTTTACTGTGGGCAGGGTAGTATACATATATACAAGAATTAATTTATCCGCAGGCGAAATCTGANGTGCCGCGTAACAATTTCTATAGACGATGTTGAGAAGAGATATAATTCATTCAGCGCTTCCTATGTGAATACCCTGCACTCCGGGGAAAACGCCTAAAAGATCTGCGAATCATTTCTTTGAGAACTTAAGACAGTTTGAGGAAAATTCCACTACAGGGTCTACTAGACAAGGGTGCTTTAAGGAGTTGCAAAGGCAGGTCTGGGGAAATCCTCTCCTGGGTATCACAAAGGTTCTTTGCGGCCTCTGGATGAACACTTACCAAGAGCTGCCCCCTAACCCAGCATTTTAAAAACTCTGATGGTTGCGCCTATCACTGACTGAGCTCAATGTGAAAGGTAAAAAGTTCATCTCTGGTATTGTTTAGCATTTGAACATCTCCGCGCTTATAAAATTTAAACAAAGCCAAGGGCACTAGTCTCTTTACTGTGGGAAGGGGTAGTATACATATATACAAGAATTAATTTATCCGCAGGCGAAATCTGAAACAAGAGATATATAAAGAGAAGCTAGAGCAAAAGCTGGAAGAGACGCATCGTGTGTGTGATTCTCTAAAACGTGTGGTGGAGAATTTGCCGACAACAGATGTCAAAGAAAAGCTTGTAGTAACGCAGGTAAGTTCGAGCTCACACAACATTTGATACTCTTTCTACATCTGATCTATTTCTCTCTCTCTCTCTTTAGCGCATTAATCGCTCACAGTTAAAAAAATTGAAAGCGCTCAGTGCGGAATTATCGATCAATCAAATTGAATTAAAAGCGCGTGAATGCATCATTGAAGAATTCAAAGACACGCTAAAGAAAGCAAAGCAGCAAAACAATTATGAGCAGCAAAGCATTACACAGCCAACGCAGTCTGCAACATCGAGCGCCGTTGTGCCCTTCGCCTACTCAAGCCAGGAGAATTATATGGATTGCATTTTTGTGGAGACCAGCGATCCCAGCCAAGATACGCAGGAGCTGAAGACAGTTTAACACGCTGAAGAAATATTATTTTTTTTTTATGTGTTTAAGTGGAAATTTATATACATTTTCGGTTTAAGGGCACGAAGAACGCATCTTTATGGAAACAATTTTTACCNCGAAATATTATTATTTTTTTTTATGTTTTTAAGTGGAAATTTATATACAGTTTCGGTTTAAGGGCACGAAGAACGCATCTTTATGGAAACAATTTTTACCTTAATACATTCTCAGATGTATAATTGTATTCGAAATTTATCAGAGGCCGAGCAACGATGAGTGCAATGAGAGATGATGATGATGAGATGAGAGGAACATCTCTTATTTCCGTCTTCTCAATATTAATATGTGCTGCTCATTCCTGCTGGGAACTTTCACTCATATAAAATACCATACCTGTTTTGTAACTTGATAAACAAAAAATAATAAAAGTCTCGGCTCATTTTCTGCACTTTATCCATATCTATATCTATTTTCTTTAGTATTTTAAAACACGATTAAATACACAAGTTAAAAAAAAAATAAACTAAAAAAAACATGAACACACTTGTTTCCTGTTTACGCTCCAGTTATGAGCTTGAAGCCAGCGCCCAGTGTGCGTTGCATATTTGGTGGCGCTGAGAAGCATTGTGCCTGCATTTGTACCAATAGCTGACGCTCTTCTAGAAGTTTTTGCTTCTGTCTTTTCTCGTGGTTCAGCTGAGATTTGGCATCGGTAAGACGTACCTTTAGTTCGTCTAACTTTTGGGAATTACTTTTCTCGTCCAATTCTTTCACGTGCAGTTCAGCCATTAGTGCTTTCAATTTACGCTCTTTGCCAGACAAAGTAGCCTGCAAGTATATATATTTTCAGTGCGAGTTAAAGAAACACAGCTTAACTCAAGCAACTATAATATGTACTAACTTTCACGCTATTCAATTCGGCACGCACTTTATGACTCGGCAGCTTAAGCATAAACTCTTTAAGTGCCTCATAAAGCCGTTGCGATTCCTCGAGCGCTTCTTCGTGATGCAGTACTGTCACGTTTTGTTGTAGTATTTGCCTAGAATAACAAGAAAAATACTTTAGCTGTCAATTTATTTCCATTCCTTTTTCCCTTTCAACTCCCACTTAGAATGAATGGAATGGATTCATGGTAGGCCGGAAAACTCAAGATCGTTTTTTCAGGTATTTAAGAACTAGGCCTATGGAAAGGATAAAAAGAATTGCGAAATAGGTGTAAAAATTTTTAGGCACTAATGAACTTTAGTAGTTTGTGTCGAGGGAAAGATAACTTAACTCGTCATTCTCAGTACATCTAACCCAAAAATTTACTATATCAATATGGTGAAGAAAATGCTTTATACCATCTTCAATCTCCCAGCAAGGCGTAGAAAGGGGGTTGTCCACAATAAATACCACCATTTGTTGCCACCATAGATCGTGTCCTATAGTTATTCATATAAGAGCTTGTTGGTTAGGTTAGATAAGGAAAGCGCGTACGAAATGATCGGTGCTTCCACTCAGAGACAGACTCGATCAATGTGATTGTTCGTAGCTCCTTCCCTCTGTGTTAGATAAGGAATTTCGCACATCACTATTTTTAGGATACACTTGGTTGCTTAACCAACTTAATTTTTATTCTTGGAGCTGTCGGTATAGAGAGTTTAGTTTGATATTTAGGGCCAACGACAAAAGGGTAATATTCTGACAATCTTTTAAACAGCCTCTTTTCCCGGAACTTCGTGGTACCCAAATCAAAGAGAATGTGATTACATTTTACATTTTTTACGATAGATATACTGATTGATCTGCACACAAGAGACGAGATTTCTCGTCACTGTCTTTCGAGGGATCAACATCGATGGATACCGCCCAACATACATTAATAAAGTGGATAGAGTAAGCCTTCACTCAAAAATATTATGCAGTAAGAGCCTTCCCCGACATCGAGGGGACCTTCAAATATGTGATTATGGAGGGGTTGAAACCAATCTAGTAAGACTCATTTAAGGTTTACTTCGCGACAGAACTTTCGAGTCGAAAAGCCTGCCCTCAGCGTAGAGTCAATAGATGCACTCCGAAAGGTGGTTCTCTGCCTACTGCTTTGGTTAGCGGTTGTAAAGGACCTTCTGAAGGAACGAGAGAAATTGGGCTGATGGGTTATCGCCTATGCACTACGCAGATGATGTGGTGCTTATGGTTAGGGGAAGATTTCTAGATGTCTTTGTTTTAACGCAAAGTAACCTGAACTTGGTAAAAGGTGAGCGTCCAACTGCCGCGCCGTAGTGAATTCCAGTAAGACGGTCTTGTTTACTAGGAAGTACAAGGTCCCCGGTGTAGCTCTTCCCCCGATCGGGGGTGTGCGTATGTGCAGCTCTCCAACAGAGTCAAGTACTTAGGTCTGATCCTGGAAGATATTGGGGAATCCTAACAATAAAGAAAGGGCAAGAAAGGCGTCGTTTGCCTTTTACTGCTTGTCCACAATAAATTCTGCTGCAGCGGAGCTATTGGTAAGAGGTGGTGTCTCTCGTCCAAAGTCATTGGCACTATGAAAGCATAGTCAAGAGTGTCTTGTTTACGGGGCGTTGTCTAGTGGTACGGGGCGTCGGGGCGTTGAGAGTGGTAGAGAAGGTCACACTTCTAAGCAACTGGTGCGGGTACAAGGGATTGCTCTAATTGGCATATCAATGGCTACACTGCCGCTTGACGCCATGTTGAACATCAGCCCTGTAGATATTGCGGGCTGAGTTTTCGTAGCACAAACTTCCATTAGGCTAAGGGAAGCCAGAAGGTTAACTTACTCGAAAGCTGGACACTCTGGAGTTCTAGAGAGCTGTGATTTCGTCCCTGAATGAATATATTACTGTGCTTCCAAAATGGCTCCCAATAGCTCCTTTCCTACCCAGATTTCTTCAAGGCAGGTGTGGCTGGCGCGTGACTACAGGAAGGTGGTAGGATGGATCAAAACTTGATGGCATGATTCGTTGAGGTGTTTTCTCCACCAAAACTATGTTTCTGCTTCCGAACTTCTGCAGTGTCTTTAAGGCGGAAGTAGCTGCCATCAAGGAAATGGGAGACTCACTGCAGAAGAGTACACGTCAATTAGGGTGGATATTATTACATATTTTGATAGCCAGGCGGCTATCAGGGCCCTCGCCGCTATGATGAAATCGGTAAGGGAATATCTGACCTTTCTAAATCGCGTCGGAATACTTCTTAATCCGGCTTATTTGGACGCCGGACCACAAAGACATTGAAATGTTATCATCGGGTATGGCTCTTCTGAGGTCCACTCTTGGATGGTTGGGCTTCGCAAGGCTAAGATGGAAACTTCTGGCCCGCACTTCTTGGCTAATCCTATGAAGCTCGTAGGCACTGAAATTAGTCGCATTCTCGGCGTTTCGCATTCTCAGTCCAGCATTCTAGACAAATGATTCTACTCCACTATACTACATCAGAATACGTGAATAAACGATTATACCCAAAGCACTATAGACGGTCTTACTAAAGGCTTCTTTCTACAGTTACGTAAATATATTTCACTTCCGCGGTAAGACTTAGGCATGCACCGGAACCAGGTGTGCTGTGCTTTACATTAAAATCCCGAAAACTGCATTATTCATAAATCTTATTAAGGATTCTCTGTATCTTTCCACATATGTTACTGGGAGATTTTCCTGACGTTAGTTCACAAACATTATATGCATAAACTTGGATATGCAGTCGCGATGCTGGTTGTGGAAAGACCAGATGGAGAAGGACTTGGCTTCACTTGGCGTCAGTTGGCATAGAAGAGAAACGCCTGGTGGCTGTTTTGGCCTCGGCCAAAATCACCTAGACGGTTACAGAGCCAATAAAGAGGAGGAAGGATATGTATGTAGTCCACTTCGATGTCTACACTTACTTTCGCAAAGTTTGTATTCTCTGTATGAGATCCATTTTCTCTGGATCACGTCCTTTCAAATTGCGCCAACGATGCACATTCATCGGTGTCATCATCTCCTCCTGCATGGCGCGTGCCTTGATGCGTTCCTGATTCAGCAGCCTATGCATTTGTAGCAGTTCCTGACGCAAATCTGCCGCATTTTCGCGATCCTTGCGCAACACATTGCGTTCCGTACGTAAATTCTTGATTTCCATGCGCATCAGACGCATATCTTCTTGCGCTTGCGCATATTGCCGCTCGGTTTGCTCGTAGGCCGTTTGCAGTGTTTGCAGTTGATCTTTTAACTGCGCGTAGTCGTCATTGCATTTTGTGAGCGCCACTGAGACGGTATTCTTCTCGTCTCTGATATGATCCAGTTCACGCTTCAGTTGCGATAATTTTTGGTTGTCCTCCTAAAATAAAATAAAAAGGAAGTAGACATATTTATTGGCGTTTTAATTCTAGCCTAAGATAATTGCGTGTAGCTTACTGACCTGCAGCGATTTGGTGTTCTTATCGCACAGCTTCTTACGCTCCAACAATTCACAACGTGTGTGCTGATGCGCCAGTTGGGAGTAGCGTAGCTCAGTCTTTAGCAGCCGGCGCTCTTTCTCCAATTTATCGATCTGCACTTGCAGTCGACCCATTTCACTCTCTCTGAGGGAAACCTTAGTTTTGTAGCACTCGATATCCTCCTGCAGCTTGGCAATTTGTTGCTCCAACTTTCCATGTTTCTCCTCGGAAGTCTGCAGATTTCGCATAACACTGTTTTTCTCGTTTAACAACCCATCGTGTTGACGTTGTAGATTGTTAGTCTTTTGCTCGAGATCGCCTATGGCGCGTTTTAGTTCAACCTCGTAGTTTTCTTTCAATTGTATTTCGTCTGTGGTTAAGAGTAAGAAGAGTAGTATTAGTTATTATAGCATTATATAGGTAGTGTTTAATGCCGGTAGTGCTCACTTTGCAGCGCATCGATTTTGTCCAACAAAACTTGGATTTCATCTACTTTTTTCGTCTTCTCCTTTTCACTTGTTGTAGTCCTCTTGCAATTTCTTTTGCCGATTCCTGGAACTGTTCGTCTGTCTGTTCGGCTGTCTGATGTTCGGCGAACAAGTCGCGTTTCAGCGTGTCGCGCTCCTTAGTCAGATGTTCGTTGTTCTTTTCGAATTGATGTACAATGCGTCGCATCGATTCCAACTCCTTGTCCTGTGTACTCAGCTGGGTTCTGTGAAGAATAATGAGCGGCAATCAATACTTTCCAGTCGAAAGTAAATTCAAAAGCTCACTTACTTCAAGCGCGCATTCTCCTCCTCCGCCTTGGAGCGTGCATCATTTAGGGTTGCGTACTTGCGTGCGGTGTTCTCCTCCGATTTGACCAGCTTTGCGTTCTCACGTTTCAGTTTGATTATCTCATCCTCTCGCGTCTAAAATGCGAACAATCGACATAGAAGTTAATCTACAGCATTTCTTAAAACTCACCTTCAACAGACTAATGCGCTGCGTTAACGCCCGCTTGTTCTCATCGCGTTCCTGTATCGCATATTCGAGTTCCACTACGGTCTTGGCTAGCTTGTTGCTTGTGGTGTTATGTTGCGTATGCAGATGCTCCAGATTGCTCTTTAGTGAGAGGATTTGTAGATTATGGCGCACCTTTAATTTGATCAATTGATCATTGTGCAATTTGATTTGTTGAATCTTCTCTTTGGCTTTGGCTTCTTCGCTGCGTGTCTGAGCAAGCTCCTTTTCCAGCAAGTCCAAACGTTTGCGGTTGTTGTACGCTTCATTCGAGGTTTCCTGCAATTTTGGGGATGTTTGTCAAACCAAGTGGACACGTTATGCTAATTAGTGTTCAAAAAAATGAATTTACATCAAGCATTTTGACTAAAGCTTTATTCTTTTCCTCCAGTGTTTGTGTCATTGCTTCCACTTCGCTGGTATAGAGGCGTTGTATTTGGATACGCTTGTTAAGTTCCCGAATTTCGTTGTTAAGTTTATCTCGCTCGTTTTGTTCATCCCGTTTGCTTGTGAAAAATAAGAGGTATAGATCTTTGATTTCATTTAAGAATGTAAAATAGGAAGAAAGGCGATGCTGAGGAGGTAATAAGATTTTTTTTCCTCCAAGTCCAAATTCACTATTCTTTTTTTTAATGAGTTATCTTAGTATCCCTCACTTCTGGGACCCTCGACGTGGAATTATTGGAGGAAGTGAAATTGCTGATAAGATGAGCGGAAATCTAGATTACATTTTTAATCAGAAGAGGAAGTAAATCTACTATTTAGTTACGGCGGCTAGAAGTGATCTATCATAACAATCTTATTTATGGGTACAGGTCTTCTTTCAACANTTCACTATTCTTTTTTTTAATGAGTTATCTTAGTATCCCTCACTTCTGGGACCCTCGACGTGGAATTATTGGAGGAAGTGAAATTGCTGATAAGATGAGCGGAAATCTAGATTACATTTTTAATCAGAAGAGGAAGTAAATCTACTATTTAGTTACGGCGGCTAGAAGTGATCTATCATAACAATCTTATTTATGGGTACAGGTCTTCTTTCAACAACGCATCGTTAAGGACCCTCGCGAAATCTCTTGGCGAATTGCCATTAAGGGTATGTGCTAGTAAGGACTTCATAAAGGCACATAAATAATTTACCTTGCCGTTTTCTGTACTTCACAGAAAGAAACATTCCCAAGCTTGACAAGTGCTTTATTGTTATGCAGTTACCAGTAAAAAATTCTGTAGCAGTCTTTGTGTAGTTTACCATCCGTACTTGTTCAGTATTGTCGCACTTCCTTTTTCATTCTCTGAAAGAACCCTTTGCAGACCAATGAAGGGTCATAGACGTATGGATCGCTGCGCAGCCCTTCTCTGGCGGGGTATCCATACNTTCTGTAGCAGTCTTTGTGTAGTTTACCATCCGTACTTGTTCAGTATTGTGGCACTTCCTTTTTCATTCTCTGAAAGAACCCTTTGCAGACCAATGAAGGGTCATAGACTTATGGATCGCTGCGCAGCCCTTCTCTATCTCAGCAAATACGAAGACGGAGACAAATATGGGATCCGCCATTGCAGACACATAGCTTCCACTGTCACGAGAGCCCCGCATCACTCTGTCCCAATTATGGTCTGGATATTGTAACCGCACTGAGAGCTACATTCCGCACTCGACCCCAATATCACCAACCACCTCTTCACACCTTAGCTCAGCCCTAATCAGCTAACAAACCTCTCCCGATGGTCCAACCCCGTCGAACAGCTTATTTCTTGGGCCTATCACTAGTTCAGATTGACGACGAAGGTTGGTGGACAAACATAGCTGGCCGGGGCTTAGTAGTGCCGCTACAACAACAACGAAGACCAATACGCATACGAAAACGAATACGAAGAGCAACCGAAGACAAAAACTCGAAGACCACTAAGACGAACACGAGTACGAAGAGGAAAACGGAAAAGAATGCAACGACGAGTAGGAAGACGATTACGAGCGCGAACTCGAAGGGGAGTAATAAGACGAATACGAAGAAAATACGAACACGAAGACGAATAAGAAGATGGCAACGAAGACAAACACGAACACCAATACGAATACGAATACGAATTCACAGACCAGCCAAAGTAGAATAGGAAGACGAATTCGGAGACGAAATATAAAACGGCGACGAAGATGAGTACGAAGACACACACGAATATGAAAAAGAGGACGAATACAAATGTGATTGCGAAGACGTACACAAAGCCAGCACGGACACGAATGCGATACGAATAGAGGGATGAATACGAATATGACGACAATGACGAAGACATATATTAATATGAAGAAAACTACGACGACGAATATGAAGAGGAAATACGGAGGCGAATAAATATATGATTCACGCACGACCACGAAAATAGCGACTTAAACGAATACGATAGTGAATGCGAAGTCTAATACGAATACCATATATATGGAATATGAAAACGAACACGAAGTTGAAGGCGAAGACTAGCCAACTTAATTTTTAGAAACCTCTGCCCCCCTTTAGACCTATCCCTACATTCCAGTTTAGGTATTTCGTAGCGCTGGTTTTATGTTTTTGAACTATAAGACCGTCCTTTTCCATATTCCATTCCTCAAAGTCAATATTGTGTTTCGTACAAAGAAAAATGCTTAAAATCTCTCTCACTTACCTTTGCAACCCAGAGCGCTTATCGCTTAAATGCTCAACCATTTGCTCGAGTGTATCCATTTTTTCTCTCATCTTCAACATTTCATCCTGAGCGTGCTGTTCACGTGATTGTGCGGCATCCTTTTGCAACCAAGCGCCCTCTAGTGAGACAAAAGTGATTGTGCGGCATCCTTTTGCAACCAAGCGCCCTCTAGTGAGACAAATTTAATTAAAACATTTTTTTTAATTACTTCGATTACCAATCAATCACCCACCGATGACAGTACGCAACTCCGCTATGGTTGCCTGATCCATTTTACTCATCTTGTTGACATGATCCAAACGTTCTTTCAAGCGCTGTATTTCTTCGGTAAGCTCTTGGCAGCGCAGTTGCTCCAAATGCCAGTCTGATTTGTAGCGATTCGAGCAAATAACCATACGTTGAACATTGTCCGCATTATCGTGAGTGTCCTTCTGCCGCAGAGCTTTCGTAATCTGCAACGCAGTCATATATGTACATATGTAATAAGAGAGTATAATCAGTAGCAGAATGCATAAGAAAATTATTTCGGTACTCTACCTCAGGTACTTTATCCATTAAATTCGTATAGAAATCATCATCAAAATCCTCCGGCACCAAAGGCTCATCATCCGAACCGGAAGCTCTGGAACCGGCGCTCATTTTCAAGGATTTCTCTTAAAAGAATTACTTGTCTGCGAAATTGAAATAGTAATTTTACGGCAATAAGTTCTTAATTTAATTTTTTTTTTACTTTCTTGCACAAATCTCCGCCAAATCACTTATTGACTTAATAAACAAAATTTTTGCGCTGTTGCCAATGCCGGCACCTAACGCCTGCTCGCTGGCTCTCGGCCATGGTCTGCTATGGCAACAGGTTTTTTGCTGTTGTGGACTCCAACTCCTCAATCGGAAAATAGCTACAAGGAAGTGTTATACATTTATTTTAAACATTTCTTCACATGAGCAATACATACCCACACACATATGTACATATGTAGCTATACAATTCATAGAGACAAACTAAATAGTACTTGCTAAGGCAACAAGTGGAAACTTTAATAAGTTGTTTTTGTCGCTTTCCTCTTTATTTTAGCCACATTTTGTTTATGTTTTTTGTATGCCTTGCCATTATTTGGGCGCATGTCTGGCAATTTGTGTTCCTGCAACGCCAACTATGCAACTATGTCGTTTAGTAATGCTACAGTTGGGTGACTGGTTGGTTAGGTTTTTTTTTTTGAATTTTAGTTGTATATTTCACATTTACTAGCTGATATTCCTACATGGAAATGTGGTCAGTTGTTTACTTAGATTAGTTACACCAAGTGCAAGTGTTTAGTTTGTAGCTTTTGTTTATTATCAAGATACATACATACATACATATGTCTTACGAACCAATTAACTTATTGGCATACTCTACATACCCACAATGGGCGTCTTTGTATGTATTAGATTGTGAGCCTCCCACAAGCCTACTTCCGCATCAGTGAATCGGCTTTTGCTGACAATGGTAAGTACTTACTTGCTTTCCATTTATGAAGTAATTTCACAATGGTTTTCCCTTTTGTAACATTAAATCTTACATATGTATGTACGTAAATATATTACTCACAATAATTATTTTGATTATACGAGTAATTTTGTGGCTGTACCTCTATTGTGATTTATTTAACTTCTTCCACCTTAAGGATAGGATTTTCCGTTAATTTTTTTTTTCTCAGAAAAGGTTAGATTGTATGGCTATTTCTATTCAGTGGCCCAAATTCCAAAAAAAAGCGTAACTCAGAGAAAAAACACATTTTTCGATCGAAAGCTTTTGTCACAGTTAAATTAGGGTCGAACACTGGTAATCTGGCGATTTTTTTGCTCGGTAGTAAATTTTTTCAATACTGCAATAACAAAAAAGTTATCACACATCCTTTTTCATTTAAAATTTGCACAGACTAACATTAGGGTGGTCAAAAAAAAAAGTAAAGTCGGAATGTTAATGCTCCCACGGAAAAACGTTATACCCCTATTTTTTTTTTTATTTTGAAATCAAAAAATATTTAGAAGTCGCTCAAAGCGCTTAAAGGTTTCCATGTACTTTATTTGAAAAAAAAAAAAATTGGAGAGCTGGTATGGAATTCTTGAAAATCAATATTTTTCGGTCAGAAAACTTCATTTTCCTTCAAGAGACTTCCGATAACAATACCCAATTATTTATTTAACAATTTTCTATTATTAATAATTTTTCATAGGACCCCTAAAACCTCAAATGGGTCCCGCATCGCTTTAAACACATGGAAAACTTTGAGCGCTTTGAGCGACCTCTAAATATTTTTTTGATTTCAAAATAAAAAAACGGGGGTTAATTTTTATTTTTTTTTTTGATGGAACAATCCTAGGGGGTGAGAGCATTAATATTCCGACTTTACTTTTTCACATACATTTTTGGACCACGCTACTACACACTAGTAGTAGTAGAAAGTAATAATATTTAAATTTAAAATTATTTCAAGAATTAATTAAATACATAGAACTTTAATCTGATGACACGATACGATTAGTAGCCTCATGGCTCTTTGGAATCTACCCTTATTGGCAATAGCGTCGGCTATTCAGTACTGTGGCATTACTGCATTGCAGCAGTTTTCATGCTCTTTTTACAACTTACTCATTATTTCTCTACTTTTTTTTTACAACTGCATGCAGCTAAGCAAATAAGCCCCGATGGTAACCAACTTCACCAAGCGGCTTGCACATAAATCTAGCAAAAAAAAGCTCCCACCGCAAATTTACTTCCTGCTCAACAAGCCGGCATAAACAACTGTGCGTTTTGTAGTAAAAAACAAGTTGCTAATTTCCCGCTCACAAAAGCGCCAATAGTTGCTGCCATCTATAAACGTCGACGCCAGCGACGACTGTGGCAGCACAAGCGAGAGTGCTTGCGCAGTCGCTCTCACTTTTCAACAGGTATGCAGGTACGAGTAGTAGCCATGACATTGCTAGCTGATGTCTGCTGTAATACTCCATAAAAATGTTGAGGTATATACATATACATACGTACATATTTAATCATAAACGAATGCAAACGAAATTATGCACACACAAGTTGGCGCGCGCGCTATGTCCGCGATTTCAAAAATCCGTCTGAATGTCACTTAATGAGGCAGCTGTGAAGCGAGCAATGGCTTTGAGTTTAACTTTCTTCATTTTCTTTTCTTTGCTACCAATTTACTATGTTTAGTTATAGAAATAATGCGATATACTCAGACATACATATGTATGTGTGTATGTATGTATGCACGCACAGCTATGCATTTTTCTACTTCAAACATTTATACACATTTTAATTTTTTTACATTTCTGTATTTAAATTAATTTTTTTTTTTCGTTTGGTTTGCGGTTGGCGAAGCTTGTCTTTATTTATCGCATGATTGGATTTAATGTTCATTGCTGTTACAGTTGCTTAGTTTTCTGTCTGTCCCATAATATTGTCCATACGCTATAGAAATCTACACACATACTAATGGTGTATTTAATTTAGTTGCAGTATTGTATGACTCAATTATTTTTAGAGGCGTGTCACAAAGAGTGATAAAGTGTTGTCTGCAAGGCAATTGAGTTTTTTTCGCCGTAATTATACTATGTCAATATAGTTATTGAGTTTTTATTTCCTTCCCCCATCCTGGGGATTGACCTTCTTTTATGATTTTTAAAACCCTCATGGCGTCTAAAGATTTCATTTTGGGATAAAACTCTGAGGAAACAATTTAACATGGTGGGGATATCGAAAAACACACCGCTCCCGAGGACTTTTAAAAAAACAGGAACGCATCACAACATTTTGTTTCCAAAAAAACGTAGGCCCGTGTTTTATTTAGGGTAATTTAATAATAATAATAATTTACTTTTTCATTTGCGCATTTTTGAATTGTCGATAAAAAAGTATCGAGGTTTTTTGGTAACTAGAGTCCAGTTTATGATAAGGAAGCCATCTCTATTCACATTGACGTGTGAAAGTGGTCTGCGCAGTAGAGGCGGGTTGAAAGTCTATGCCGATGGCATTCCGAGAGAAAAAAGCTCTAGAATATCAGCTATAGCATCTACTGAAACCTAGTCTAAGCTAGCTAAAGTCGAGCTAAGCTCGGTACTTCAATCAGAGGCTAGATATGTTTTACCAAAAACACACACACAAATGTACAGGTATTGAAATATTATTGTGACTGGGATTAGTTGCTCATCAAAGTACATCAGGGAGCCTCATTTGGCCGAATCAGGAGGCATACCGTATTAAAATAAAATCTGCTATTGTCAAAGCACCAAACCCATATCTTGTGGCATTATTAAAGGCAACATCCAGTTTGTTTCGAGAATGAGAGCCAGGATTACTGTACGCAGACTCAAAATATGTAATGAGGGAAACAACTTAGCTCTTCATTTTTTTTCTCTGGGTATCTAATGGTACAAAGAGATAGGTAAATCTGAGGCAGCAGAATGTATGAAAATTTTGCCTACAACGGTATGCTCATTATATGTCAAACTAGTAGAGATTATGAAACCAACAATTTTCACTTTGTCGAACCTTGGCAGTCCCAACATACATATGTATATGTAGGTGAGCGATCTAAGAAATCTGGAATTCATCTTTGTATGTAGGGAGAACAGACGATTTTTGAGTATTTAGGCTGGATTTCCACAGGCCATTCAAAAATTGAGCCCAAATCTATATCGAGTCTAAATGTTGTATTACATGTAATTGAATATCATCAGCGTAGGCATGTAAACACAAAAGTGGGCAGGCCTTGAAAATATATTTGATAAAGATACTAAAGAGAAGAGAACCCATTAGGAAAATATTTTTTTCGAGAGATTTTCTAAGAGCTTCCTAACGACATGGACATAGACAATTGCACAGAAATGCAAAGATTGGAGAGTCTTTTGGTGTAATTCATTAAAAAGTTAAAGAAATCAATTCAAAATTTAAATAAAGAAAGAGACGTTTCAGAAAGCTTAATTTCAAAAATATTTTTAGACAGGCCTGCCACCGGTTTAGAAATTAAAAATTAATTAAAATAATATGGTAAATAAACTATTGTAAAATGGATACTAGATGAGATGGATTTAGATAAGCTTTTTTTTTTTTTGAAAATATGGCTGTCAAGTGAGGAAGATAGTTTTAAGAGGGGTTTTGTTCGAAAGTAAAGTTAAAAAAGTTATGCTTATATTATAAATGTGAAAGTTTGTATGGGATTTTGTAAGTAATTTCGGCAAAGAAATAACCTACCTACCACCTGGATTAATAAGTACGATATATTTTAAGAGGGTTGTCACTTGCTTAAAAAGTTCAAGTTGGAATAGGGATGCCAAAGAAACGAGATTTAAAAAAGCTTTATTATGAAAAGATCTAAGAGAATCTCCTCCTATTTAAAAGTTGAAAATCACTTTTGTTAAATAAGTAAAACGAGGTATTACAATACGGGTGGCAAACGAATAGGGTTAAATAAATAATTTTTCTTTTCAAATTTTGAGCCGGTTGCCACCCGTTTTAAAATTCAAATACAATTTTTTAATAAGTTAATGAAAGTATTACCATACCGATTTTAATCGGAAGAGGTACGAGAAAGTTTCGCTTCGAAAATATTTTTAAAACTCAATTAAAATGAAGTAAATAAATTAAATTAAACATTTCAAAATGATGTCGGGTTAAACAGAATGAAGTGTTATGTCAAACGAAGTACATATGTGTAAGAAAGCTTTATTGCTAAAAGAGCTTTGAAGAGGGTTTCACCCACCTGTTTACAAAATGAAGTTCAGTTTATGAAAGTGAAAATTCGCAAAATACCATATTGCTCGTCAATACAGCAAAGGTTTTCCACCTATTTCAAATTTTAATTAATTTGTTCTGCATAATAATAAGTGAAATATAACAATGAGATACATATTGATATGAAAGAAAAGATGTTGTTATGTACATACA